CGTACACCTCCATCCGGAGCCGGCGCGCGAGGAGACCTTGGTTGACGACGCGCTCCAGGAGGGCGAAGAGGCCGTGGCCGGCGTTGTCGCACGTCGCGAGCAGCACATCCACCGGCGCCGCACCAGCAGCCGACGCCTGCGGGGGCGGCTCTGGCGGCGGCGGCAGCAGGTCGGCCGCCGTGCATTGCGGCGCGACGAACGAGTCGCCCGCGCGGCACGGCCCGCCGGGTGCCGCCGCACCAAGCAGCAGCGGCGCGCCGTGGCAGTCGCCATCAGCAGAGGCCTGCGACGGGCGGCGGCGGCGGGCCAACACGCGAGCGAGGCCCGTGGTGGCGGCGGTGGCGGCGCCGTCGAGCGAGAGCGTGGCGCGCGCCGGCTGAGCGCCGGCAACGCAGGTGAGCCGGTAGTCGTGGCAGGCCAGCCGGGCGGAGGCGCCGGAGGACATACACACATGCCTTTACATGCACGTGTGGCTTGCGCAGGCGCCGATCGAGCAACGCCAAAAAAAAGCTCGAGAGCCTGCCGACTGCACTCCAAGTGCTCCAAGTGCACCACACGCGCGCTTGATGTTCGGTGTTTATTTTTGCTTGGGGCGGGCCTCATGATGAAATTCTGCAAAAACCCGGCCGGCCCCCTGCCCTGCCCCTACCTACCTACCTACCTACCTACCCTACTTATGGGAAACTAAAAAAGAGATCACCGGATGGGTGAAGGTGGGGTACTACGAGTATACCAACTGAAGTGATGGTTGGTGGTCCTGCAACCACAGTCCTTCCTGTGACATATGGCAGGCCACTCTCAGGCCCTACAAAGCATTCATCCACTTAGGGAGGGTTGACATCGTGATTTCCGCGGAAAATTTCTTTTTGAAATTCCAGCGTGAAGAGAGGGAGAAAACCCCGACGGGAGGGCCTAGACCTACCGCTACCCCTACCTACCCCGTCATGAGGCCCGCCCAAGCAAAAATAAACTACACCTGGCACGAGAAAGCTCGGCGTTACATCCGACATGAGAAGAGTTTTTTTTCGAGATACTGCCGCCTGAGGTCAGACACGTGACCGGCCCCTTCCCAAGAGGCAAGAGCACTCGCGAGAGTATGTGAGCACACACCTGCCACGCGCGGGAGTTTAGCGCGTCTCGTGAAAGGGTACCTTACCTTACCTTCTCGCCGGCGCCGCCCGTCCCGCGCATGCACACCAGCCGGTTGCCCAGCACCCACGAGACGGCCTCTCCGGCCGCCACCTCGAGGCCCATCTGCGGCGGCAGGTCCTGCCGCTCCACCCGAGAAAAGCCGAGGCCCTCGTACCAGCCGCAGGTCGGCTCCAGGGTGATCAGGTAGAGGTCGCGCCTCGCGCCGCCGCGCTGCACGTGCCGCGCGCACAGCCGGCGCACGAGCTCGCTCCCCACGCCGCGGCCACGCCACTGCTCGCCCACGTACACCGACGCCAGCTCCCACAGCGGCGCCGCCTCCGTCTCCGCCTGGCTCACCCGCGAACGCCGCCGCTCCCGCTGCACCGCCGCGCGCTGCGCGAGCTCTCTGTACCTGGCCGACCAGGGCAGCAGCGCGTCGAGCCCGCTCTCCGGCGCCGACGCGGCGTAGGCGCGGTCAAAGTCATCCCAGGCGTCATCATCGGCGGGCTGCCCAACGTCGCCCGAGCCGGGCGGGGCGTCGAATCGAGCCGGATCGGCCGCGTTGCTCTTGGCGAGCTGGCGTATCTGCCCAAAGCCAACCAGCGCACCCGAGTCGGACTCGCGACAGACGAGGAATCGGTCTGCAGACAGGAAGAGCGGGTTCATCTTTTCGCGAAGCAGTCTTGTCGCAATCGGGAGCATGTCGCGCTGCTGGCCGAAGCGATACTCGAGGCGGCCCGCGAACGCCGAGGGGAGTGCCGAGCAGAGGAGGAGGCGTACAAGTAGAACGGCTTTGATCGCCATCGTGTGTGTTCAGGAGTTTGGAGCCCTCGGTTTATGTGAGGAGCAGGTCGAGGGGCACGGGTGAAGGCGGCAGAGGTGCAAGGCGCGCGATACACGACGAGTCTCTCTTTTCTCCCAGTAGCTTCCCCTTGAGGTAAAACTCGTCGCTTGGCGACTTGCCCACCACGCTTGCGTGGATACGTGGCTGGCAGGCTGACCCGTGTGCGGGGTAACCCGCGCACGGGGAAGCTTCACGGGTTCGAGCCGTCAAACATTGAGCAGCGGAGGTGTGCCGAGGGGGACCGGGAGGCGGTAAGCCGTCGTCGCCCGGCGCTGCATGCAGCACCGTGGCGATGGCGCTAAGAGGTTCCTCTTTTCCGCGCCCCCCCCGCAAGGCGCGCGATACACAGTAAGCTGTACGTACGTACACCCAGCTTACAGCACCGAACCCCACCGGAGGTGGAGGGGAGGCGGGGAGGGGTGGACGGAGGTGGAGATGGAGGGTGCGGCGTGGCGGTGCGGCGGTGCGGTGCGGCGCGGCGCAGAGTAGGGTTTTATGGCCGTGGCGAAAACCACTGCCGCAGCAGTCGACGCCGCCGCCACAGCGCCGCAGGGCAGTGGAGGAGAGGAATCTGCGGTGGGTGGGACTCGAGTACGAACCGGCTGCAGTCACTTGGGTCTCTTTTTACTTTTAAATGCGGCGTCTCAAAAGAATTTTACAAAAGAATTCGCGAGGCGCGGCAGCAGGAAACCAACACTAATCTGTAAACGCCAAAGTCCAGCAGCGTGCACACCGATCCTTCCTGTATGTACCGTGTTTGTTATGACCCCCCAATGAACACAAAAACAAACCAGTGAGGGAGGGCGAGACGATCGAGGCGTCCCGTACCTTCATGCGCGATGCGGAATCGACCCTATCCAGTGCTCAAGTGCTCAAGTGCGCCACAGTTGAAGAAAAAGTCCACGCTGGACGACCCGGGACATGGCGATGGACGACCGGCCCTCGCGGGCCGGCGTGGGTGGGGCGGCGCGCGAGCCGCGCGCTGGCCCCGGGGGGTGGACGCTCGCTGCGTCCCCTCCTTCCCTAAACCTGCCGACCGGACCGCTTTTTGAGCACAACTAGGTGTGCCGCCGCGCGAGCGACGCTCCGAGATCGCCCGAGATAGCGCGGCGCGGCCCCGAGATCGCCCGAGATAGCGCGAGATCGCCCAAGATGGCGCGGACCCCGAACGAGGCAGCCGTACCTCGGCTGTGCGACAACCCCGCCTTGATGGTGTAGGCCGCGCGACTGTAGCTGTTCTGTGGCGCAGGAGCTTGGCAGGGCACAAAAATGCGTGGGCTTTTTCGGCTCTGAAGAGATACCCAACACACCACTTTGGGCCTGGCGCGTGGCGGACGGCGATACGTCCATCCACTGGGAAGTGATAAAACTGATATGAGAATTTTGCAACAAAACTCCAACACGACCCCTCTGCCCTCTCTAGGCACGGGACTGGCACACTAGGCA